TGTTAACATGGCAAGCGATTCTAAACTTTTGAACACTAATGCACATTTTTGCTGTGAGAAAATAACAAAATATTTGAAAATGCAAGATTTTTTTTATGAATTGACCAATAGAATCAGTCCAAAATGACCTTTACATATCGCTGCTGTCAAAACAAAACCTCGTATCTCCATTTTTGTTGTTTTTCTGTTTTAGACATAGTTTGAAAAAGCCCGTTGTCCTTTATGTTGGGTGTCAATTTCTTAATGAATGGAACAAAATAAACGGCCCAAAATGACTTGTAAAAACGTCTGGTTCCATTGACTTACATTAAAAGTAAAGTATGTTTTTCCTTCTCCTGTAAAGTTACCATCTTGGAGATGCGAGGTTTTGTTCCTACAGCAGCGAGATACATACGTTACAAGTTAACAACATTTTTCCTCTCTTGTAAAGTTACCAATTTGCTAATTCTGCAGGACTTGCTGATATGGAGAAGTGTGATATGTAATTTTCAGATAAATGAAACGTATGTGAAAAATCTGAATTATTTTCAGGATAAACCTAAATGCAACAAATCTCTGTAAAAGTGCATTACGTTGCTTCATACTGGTTCTAGTAGCCCATCATTAACTGTTCTGTACACTCTCAGAAAGCAAGGTACTAAATGGTCTCTGGGTCAGTCCCCCTCTTGTCACTGGGGTGGTTCCCTCACGGGTACATCTCAGCACCTTTAGTCAGGGAACATAACTGAACCATAATCCACTGAAATGATATGTTCTAAGCTGTACTGACTCCACACACCCCGTCTCGTCTCCAGGCTTTTATTTTACTGTTCTGTTTTAAAGCATTCGGTTATGAAAAGGTACAAATATTTAAGGTTCACAATCAGACCTTAAAACCACTGTTGTACCTTTGAGGGAACATTTACACTGTTTGTACCTTGATGAACGAAAAATGTACCAGAACAGAACCTTTATTTCTTACAGTGAAGGTGTTTTTTAGCTTGCTTTGTGTTTTTATTTGCTGAAATGCAGCTGGTGTATTTGGTGGTATGACTTGTGGTGTTAACCACTGTTCCATAGATTGCTGGTTGGAGGAAAGGGGTTGGAGCGCAAATCACATTGAAGTGCATGCTGGGGATTGTAGTGCAGCTCAATTGGTGAAACTAATATTAATAGAAAATTAAAATAATTTTGTAGGATTGTGCCGGGGCCTGACCTGTATTTGACGCATGGGTTTAAGCTTAATAACGTCAGTAAGCTGTTTGGTCTGAAATGCTGAACTCAGAGATGCCCAGACTGTGATGATGAACTACACTGTGGAAACCTAAGTGACTAAGAATGATGAGAACTCAAGCTGAAATCAGTTTTTACACCGTATCACTCCTTTAGAGGATAAATATGTGTCACAGTCTGGCCTCTGCTGGGATTAGTGTCCTCTAACAAGCCTAATTTCCATTCTTTAATCTTTGTTTTTGGGGTTACGGCTTCGGGGGAGTTGGAGCCAATCAATTGGTCACCCCGTCACTGCAGGGCTTATGGACTGATCTGAGGGCATGATTTATGTGTTCAAGAAGCTTTTTTTGTCCAGTTTGAGGCCCCTGGGCTTCAGTAAAGTCCTCCACAGGCTGAGGCTCCACTTACTCCTTGTAAGTGGCCTTCTTAAAGTGATTAAGAGGAGGAGTCATTCCTGAAAAGTCCTATTAATTCTTAATAGTTGGCCATTATTTATTAATGACGGAGATGAAAAGCAACATCAACAGTCTATCAACTGCATTTTTATAGTATATTTGTCTTCTTTTCAATCGTTTACGTCTGTGTGTTATTATCACTGCCGTTTGCTGTACTATTCAAATGTAATTATGTAATTACATGGTAATTACATAGTAATTACAAGTGAGTTACATTTATATCAAGTTAAATTGTGTGTTGACAGCTTGAGTCTGCACTTCTGATTTTTTCTGCTTGTTTGGCTGTCAAACAACAACAAAAACATGGCAAAAGCAGCCAATAAAGTTTATTCATGTACATTTCACTGAGATTAAAATGATAAACTGATAAAATGCATTTCTCCAAATCAGCGACAGTATTAAAGCAAGATGTGCTTGGCAGACCTGCGCTTAATATATCAAAAGTATGTATTAAATGTAGATTCTTATAAAAATGATTTACAGTAATAATACAAGATTGCTGAAGGACTCGTTTATTTGCTCTATTTACTGGAAATTCAAAAACTGCTATAGTCTGCACTGTCAGAAAAAAGCTACTGAGAAGGTACAAACAATGTGAACATACCTTCAAAGGTACAACAACAGTTTTATGGTCTGATTGTTTACCTTCAATGTGTTTTTCCCAGAGGAATGGTATGTATTTGTACATTTTCACAACCTGCACTGTTATTAATAAAGGTTCTGTGCTGGTACATTTTTCATTCATCAAGGTAAAAACAGTTTAAATGTTCCCTCAAAGGTACAACAGTGGATTTAAGGTCCAATTGTGAACCTTAAATAAGTTTTTCCAGGTGAAAAGTTCGTATTTGTACCTTTTCATAACCGAATGTTTTAAAACAGAACAGTAAAATAAAAGCCTGGAGACGAGACGGGGTGTGTGGAGTCAGTACAGCTTAGAACATATCAGTTCAGTGGATTATGGTTCAGTTATGTTCCCTGACTAAAGGTGCCGAGATGTACCCTTGAGGCAAATCTGTAAACTCATTCTCTGAGTGATGCCACAGAAAGAACACTTTTGGTTCCCAAGAGAACCTTGTTTGAACAGAGATAACAGGACTTTTTGTCCACCTGGGAAGGTTTCACTCCTATTGAAGTGATCATACACTGTAAAATCTGATTTTGTTGGATATGCTTACAGCCGTGGGCAAAAGTTTCCATGCTGTTGTTGCTTTTCTGTGAAAATAAGTGAACACATCCTCTACAGAGAACACACTTTTGCACAGTTTAATGCACAATAACTGTTTATCTGCTGAATTTAACATACAATGGGTGGGGGAGGGGGGTATAAATGTGGCCTTTGCAAAAGTTATGGCACAGTTTATATTGTATGTTTTTTAAATATGTTAAACTCAGCACATAAACAGAAATTCTGCACTAAGATTTGCTTAAAATGCCATATTTTTATGTGTTTTTGTAGAGTATGCATTAACCTCTTTTTACTTACAAAATCAAGAGAATGTGTAATTTGAGCAGGGGTGCCAAAACTTTTGCATGCAACATATGCTTGTAGGGTGTCCTAAACTCTTTAATGAAATAATGACTCAAGTATAAATAGAAAAGAAGCCTGGCACAATGTGCATAGTAGAAGCTCAAGAAGCTCAACTTAAGTACCGAGTAACTTACAGAACTGCAGTGGAACTTCTTACATCCGGCATCAATCAGTACAGGAACTGAAGCTTGTTAGGAACCATTCCTCTCTTTTATTGGATCCTTTTATTCTAAAGTGAGAGGTACAAAGCAGTCAGGAGCCAAAACAACAACAGAAATTAATCCCAAAGGAAATCAGAGACTAAATGTTAAAGACTTAATGAAATTGACTTCACTGTTAGAAATAAAGGTGCTGTTCAGGTACATTTTTCATTCATCAAGGTACAAACAATGTAAATGTTCCCCTTAAAGGTACAACAGTGGTTTTAAGGTCTGAAAAAAAAAGTTTGTATTTGTACCTTTTCATAACCGAATGTTTTAAAACAGAACAGTAAAATAAAGTCCTGGAGACGAGACGGGGTGTGTGGAGTCAGTACAGCTTAGAACATATCATTTCAGTGGATTATAGTTCAGTTATGTTCCCTGACTAAAGGTACTGAGATGGACCCTTGAGGGTCCCACCCCAGTGACAAGAGTGGTCCTGCCCCAGAGACAGTTTAGTACCTTTATTTCTGAGAGTGTAGAATGTAGATACTCACTAATGTACTGGAGTAAAAGTAAAAATATTATCATTCAGGAATGAGAAAATCCATCAGGAGTGTGTGGAAGTGAGTAGTAACTGCCCCTCCCTGGAGACGTCTTCATTCTTTTTAGTTATTCTTGATATATTGAGTTAAAACAGCAGTTTAATGACTATACTGTGAAGAACTGAACTCATCGAGTCAAATCGCTGAACAGCGTCCACTTGGGTCAACAAATCAGATATCCCAGGTTTCTCGTATGAGGTGATACCTGTTTTGTACGAACACAGCGACAAAATTTCACATAGTCCAGTATGCCTGCACTCCCTCCCCACCAGCTGCAGTCTGATCACCTTATGTTTTAGGTTTATTAGTCAGGAAAATAAAGCAGAAAACCAAAAATAAAACTGAATGCAAAAGAACTGCTGATGTCAACTGGACTAGTTTCCCGTATCCCAGCCTTGTGCAGCCAAACAGCTCCAAAACTGGGAGGAAAACATATGTTACACAGGAAAACTGTTTCTGTTGATCTGTATGAATATGCCTCTCATTTAAAACACACATTTAGATGTTAAAGAAAAGGGGAACTTCATCAACGCGTCAATATTTCTATGCAATTCAATCACTGAGATGTAACCAGAGTCATTCAGAGCGGTTTGGTGTGAAATAGTTCTGATATCTTTACAGTGGTGGTGATAGGAACCAGGGGTCGCCATGACTACAACACAAATATAGACATTTTATTTACTATCCAAAACCACCAGTGAACCTACACGAGTCTCCTGAGTGTTTATAAGTATTGTTGTTGGTAAATCTGAAAAAATAAATGTTTTCTTTGGGGACTATTTTGCCTTATAATGCCCTGCCTGTACCCCTCCACCATGAATAGATTTAAGAAAAAAAGACGCACAAAATATCATAAAACAATATCTAAAGCATCAGACACTGCACTCCTAAGCATTTCATGTGACGTCTGATTCCTATCACCACCACTGTGAACAGTTCTGACTCATCACACCAAACCACTCTGAATGACTCTGTTCATATCTCAACCATTTAAATCTGTTGAAATTTTCCTTAGTGGAGTTCCCCTTTAAGGACATTGTTATGTATGTCTGTGTCTCAGATGAGCAGCTGAACTCGGAGGAGAAGAAGAAGCGTAAGCAGCGGAGGAACCGGACCACCTTTAACAGCAGTCAGCTGCAGGCGCTGGAGCGAGTGTTCGAGAGGACGCACTATCCCGACGCCTTCGTCAGAGAGGACCTGGCACGCAGGGTCAACCTCACCGAGGCTCGAGTACAGGTCAGTGACCCCAAATATCCACTGCAGGACTGAGAAATCACAACATGTATGGGTCAGTACAGTGGTCAGAGCTGCTGTCTGTAAGGGAAGCAGTTTTGGTGGGAGGTAAATCCTCTTATCTTAAATATTAGAAACCTCAGCGTCGTGTTATTTATTAAGCAGTATTTCTCATGGAAAGAAGTGCAGACATTCTGTTGAAAGTGCAGATTCTAAATTTTCCGTCCCGACCACGTCTGTGATTGGAAGTAGAAGAGGAGATATTTTAAATATGATTTATATTGATAAAAAGTTACTGTTCTGTAGGTCTCATTTTACAGAAGGAGAAAAGATTCTTTTCACCAGAAAATATACTCAAACCTGTCGAAGAATGTAAGAATATAAATCAAATGTAAATGTAATTAATTATGTAACTAATTATATAATTGTGTATTTACATTATTGCATTTAATAGTACAGAAAACTCAGAAAAGGATTGCTGATTATTCAATGACTACTTTTAATGATTCAGTACTTACTATGAATTATTCAGTAACTACTATGAATTATTCACTATCTACTATGCATTATTCACTATCTACTATGCATTATTCACTATCTACTATTCATTATTCAGCATCTACTATGACTTATTCAGTCTCTACTATGAATTATTCAGTCTCTACTATGAATTATTCAATATCTACTATGTATTATTCAGTATCTACTATGAATTATTCAGTATCTACTACTAATTATTCAGTATCTACAATGAATTATTCAGTATCTACTACGAATTATTCAGTATCTACTATGAATTATTCAGTCTCTACTATGAATTATTCAGTATCTACTATGAATTATTCAGTATCTACAATGAATTATTCAGTATCTACTACGAATTATTCAGTCTCTACTATGAATTATTCAGTATCTACTATGAATTATTCAGTATCTACAATGAATTATTCAGTATCTACTACGAATTATTCAGTCTTACTATGAATTATTCAGTATCTACCATTATTTATTTAGTAACTACTATGACTTATTCAGTATCTTCAATTTTTGAGTATCTACTGTATCTGATTCAATATTTACTATAAATTGTTCATTAACTACTATGAATTATTGAGTATCTACTATGAATTATTGAGTATCTACTGTGAAACTAATGTCTAAGCTGGGTGGTTCTGAGAGTGAGGAACTGATGTGTGGGTGCTCATACAGACCTTTAGGGTTAATTTTGGAGGAGTTTGAGCTGAACTGTAATGAGCTGTGAGGATATGAATGATCTTCTTATGAGTAATAGCTGCATTTCAGAGTGTACATGTCACCTGCTACTACTGATCACATGACTCATGGAAACAAGGTCCGAAACTTGTGTAACGTAATTCGGGAACTGTGCTGGAACCATGCTGGCTGCCTGAAACAGAGTGACTCAGAAAACAAACACAAAACTGACTTCCACCGAATTCATTCCCTCGAAGTGAGGAGAAGACCAAAGCACTGGATCCATTCTGCCCCAAACGCCATAAGAAACTGAAACGCGAGTGCAGTGCTTTAGGAACGCTTCATTCATAGATACTGTATGTGTTAAATAACACCTCTCTAATCTTTTTAAATGAAAGACTGCATAACAATCGTACTATATGAATCCTGCTGTGAGCTCCCGTTCGTCCAGTGTTTTTATCGTCTGAATCGTGAGCTCCTATCTGTTTCCTGAGCGTGCTATCTTTTTCACGAGGCTGCTTTTTCCCTCTGTTTTCTCAGGTGTGGTTTCAGAACAGGCGGGCCAAGTTCCGGCGTAACGAGAGAGCAATGCTGGCCAGTAAAAACGCTTCGCTGCTCAAGTCTTACTCAGGAGACGTAACATCAGTGGAACAGCCAATAGTGCCCCGGCCTGCACCCAGACCCAGCGACTACCTGTCCTGGAGCGGCTCACCTCCGTACAGGTAACCAACCTCTGAGCCTCAACACCAAAATAACCACCTTAACTCTTACAGTCAATCAAATATAGCTTTAAAGCAGGCAGATATTAGGGGTGGGACCTTACACTTTACTGTAACACTCAAAAGTTTGGAATCACTCCATATTAAGTCTGTGTTCTTATGTTATATTCAAGTATAACTTGTAAAATGTGGATTTACTATTCACAATTCACCAAAAGGTATTTCTAGATGTTTAATTGAATATTTCAAGCATTATTATTTTTTATAATAAGGTAAAATCTATGTATTGTAATTATTTAATTATAATAATATTTGTCAACTTATTGGCCTGAGAGTCATCATTTTTTAAATATGAAACATTCTGGACATTGATTGTTATATTATTATATTCTGTATATGGCATTTTAAAGCTCTATTCATCAATCTATATCTTTTTATTTATTTATTTATTTATTTATTTATTTATAGTGGCTACAGGCCTCAAATTATCAGTAGAAAACAAATAAATAAACAAAAAAATTATGATTCTAATAGGGTGGTCACAGGCCTCAAATTATCAGTAGAAAACAAATAAATAAACAAATAAATAGTGGGGTCTAGAATGGTGAATGGACCTTTAGAATACCATATACAGAATATAATCATATAACAATTAATATCCAGAATGTCTCATATTAGAATCATTTCATGCGTTTATCTGCAACCAAATGGATTTTATTTTATTGGAAACATTGATTCCAAACTTTTAAATGTATATTGTCAGGTTTTGATTCCTTAGACTGTTAATTTTTTTTTTTTGCGATACTGTTTTGAAATCCTTAATAGATAATTGCAAGCTAAAGATAGTTTTCTAATTGTGTCTTGGGTCAGACATACAGTTCTTGGACAATTTTAGTTGGTATATAAAATGTTTATATTATGTGAAGACCCTTCAAACTCTCAAATGATTCTTCACATTCACATCTTATTTACAGAGCTCATTTACATATATCAGCCTTAAAGTCACATGAACAAGACAGTTCTCAGGGATGAAGAGAGGTTCACATGACTGCTGTTGTGCCTAAGACAACAGAAACGTCATAACAGGACCTCAGGGAAGCTCATAAAATACAAGAAAAATCTGGACACGGCCCCTTTAGAGAACCATCCATGGAAAGATTCTTCAGGAAACCGAACGAAACAAAGAACCAATTTGGCACCTTTATGTTTCTGAGTGTAGCTCACGGGCTGTTCATTAGCTTTCTGAAAATTCGTAGTAATGTGTTTGACACATGTTGGCCTCGGCACCACATTCTTTATCCGTGATGAATGTTGTTGTGGTTGTGGTTGATTGTGCATAGGTCAGGCAATGAAAATGTAACGACCGTTTTGCAGTTTTGCCTCAACATCAAGCATCTTAATTTCTCCTGGCCAGGAAAGGAAGCTATTAGAAGCTGTTTTTTGTGGTTCTCATAAATGTTTTGCTCAAACCCTGACCTTTGCCCCTTTCTTTTAGCGCAATGGCAACCTACTCGCCGTCGTGCGCCAACAACAACACGGCCCAGGGCGTGAACATGGCCAACAGCATCGCGAACCTGAGACTGAAGGCCAAAGAGTACAGCCTGAACCAGGTGCCCACCGTCAACTGAGACGCTCTGGGCCGTTTTGGGCAAAAGGAGGGTAAACAGTGCCAAAGCAAGACTCTGTCACCCATGCGCACGAATGTATTCACTGTGTGCCTTACAGCATCGAGGCCTTCTATCTTCTATCTTCTTCGAAGGAATGGAAGAAAAGCATCACTTAACTTATCCAAGCCCAAAAACTCATTGATTTACGTAAGAAGCTGTCATGTTTTTGGCAGCCGGTGATGACATGTGGGGAAAAGTTTTTTGGAAAACACAATATGGCGAAATGGAAAGTTTGTGTTTTCATGTTCGCTGCGGCTGTGTGGGGCGTAGCTCCTGGAGGAGAAGAACGGCTATAAAGTTCTGGAAACCGCAGCAGATCGCAGGGAAACGATGACCTCTGTGGAGTTCAGCTGTAGAAATCTCAAAGACTTGTTGGGGAGTTTTCAGGATTTTTCCTTGATTTCCCTCGGGGACGCACTGCGCAGTATAATTAGACTGTAAGAATGGCTGAGACCATGGACTGACAGTTGTTTGTTCTTTTCTAGAGTAAGTGGGTAAAACATTAGCATTGATGAATATATGGTAACACTTTACTGAAGGGCAGTGTTCATAAGGCTACAAGTGTTACAGCATTACATTTCAGGTGACATCCATTTCTTCCTGACAGAAATGATACGGAGCATTATAAGAACTGACTTTGTAGCTTCATGGTGACATAATGTTGGCCAGAAGTATGTAGACACCCCTCCTAATTATTGAGTTCAGGTGTTTCAGCCACACCTTTTGTTAACAGGGGCATAAAATCAATCACATAGCCTAGCAGTCTCCATAGGTAAACACTGGCAGTAGAATGGGTTGTACTGATAAGCTCAGTGACTTTAAAGGTGACACTGTCATAGGATACCATTTTTGCCACAAGTCAGTTTGTGAAATTTCTGCCCTGCTAGATCTGCCCTGGACAACTGTAAGTGCTATTATTGTGAAATAACCACACAAACTTACAGAGCTGGGCTGCTGAGTGGTGAAGCATGTACCACATAAAAATCTCCCATCCTCAGCTGTATCACTCATTACAGAGCTCCAAACGGCCTCTGGAAGCAACATCAGCACAAGAATTGTGTGTCAGAGGCATCATGATATGGAGTTTCCAGGCTGAGCAGCTGCACACACGCCTAAGATCATTATGCGCAACACCAAGCGTCAGCTGGAGTGGTGTAAAGCACACCACCACTGAACTCTTGAACAGTAGAAATGTGTTCACTGCAGTGATGAATCACTGCTTACTCTCTTGCAGTCCGATAGACGAATCTGCACTAATTACTGAAATGCATAGTGCCATCAGTAAAGTTTGGTGGAGGAGGGATAATGGGCTGGGGTTTTTCAGGGTTTGGGCCTCTTAGTTCCAGTGAAGGGATGATGTTAATACTACAACACACAAAGACATTTCAGACAATTATATGCTGCCTTTTTTGTGGCAGAATTTGGGGAATAGCCTTTTCTGTTCCAGCATGACTGAGCCCCTGTGCACAAAGTGAGCTCCATAAAGACCTTAACCCCACTGAACACCTTTGGGATGAACTGGAATGTTGATTGCGAGCCAGGTCCTCTCGTCCAATAACAGTGTCTGACCTCACAAATGCTCTTTTGACTGACTGGACACAAATCCCTACAGACACACTCCAAAATCTTGTGGAAAGCTTCCCAGGAGAGTGGAGGCTGCTATGGCTGGAAAAAGGGGGGCAACTCCATGTTAATATAGTTTTGGAATGGGATGTCCAACAAGCTGATATAGGTGTGATGGTCAGGTGTCCACATACATTTGGCCAAGTTTACTTTTGGCTTAGTGTAGCTTAAATCTAAGTGGTAAAATGAAAACACACCCTTTAGGCAAGCAAGCTGTGTCATGTTGTCAGCATTATGTCACCGTAACAAACACTGAGCTACAAAGTCGGTTATGGCAATGTAACATAATAAGAGATATCACCCGACATAGATGCTGTATCCACTTCATATCAAAGCGGCAAATGCAACTTTAATGACAAAAATCTTATTGGAATAAATGTATGTAAATGTTTATGTATGTCTATGTCAGTTGTAACGAAGGGCTTATGCAGGTGTAATCTTATAAACACTGTCCTAAAACTGTATGGTGTTGAAGAATATATTACGACTTGATTTTTGGGTTTATATGATTGACATGCAGTGGATTAATGTGTGGAAGCCCATTTCCACCACTGAAAAAATATATAGCCATTTAGTAAGTCATAATAATGAGAAGGTTTACCATGATTATGGCTTAGTATCTCATAATTATGAAATTCTATCTCATATTATTGAGATAAAATGAAATAATTATGAGTTAGTATTTCATAATTATGAATTCTGTCTAATTATATTGAGATAAAATCCAATATTTATGACTTAGTATCTCATAATAACTACTGAGTGTTTCATAATTATGAAATTCTGTCTTATAATATTGAGATAAAATCCAATATTTATGACTTAGTATCTCATAATTACTACTTAGTATCTATAATTATGAAATTCTGTCTCATAATATCGAGATAAAATCCAATATTTATGACTTAGTATCTCATAATTACTACTTAGTATCTCATAATTATGAAATTCTCTCTCATAATATTGAAGTGCAATCCAATATTTATGACTCAGTATCTCATAATTCCTACTTAGTATCTATAATTATGAAATTCTGTCTCATAATATCGAGATAAAATCCAATATTTATGACTCAGTATCTCATAATTACTACTTAGTATCTCATAATTATGAAATTCTATCTCATAATATCGAGATAAAATCCAATATTTATGACTCAGTATCTCATAATTACTACTTAGTATCTCATAGCTATGAAATTTTATCTCATAATATTGAGATAAAATCCAATATTTATGACTAAGTATCTCATAATTACTACTTAGTATCTCATAATTATTACCTAGCGGCTCAAAATAATGAGATCTTGACTCATACTTTTGACTTAATATCTCCTAATTAAAACTTGGTATCTCAAAATTATGACTACCTTCTCATAATTATGACCTAGCATCGCTTAATTGTGAAAAACGATTTCTGAATATTATGAGACAGCAAGTCATTATTATGAGAACCTTTCTCAGTATTAATACACACTATAGGGCCTTCATTTTTTTTCAAGTGGCAGAATTGTGCTTCCATATTAATGTACATTTTGGTGTATGTAACATAAAAGCCATGTGGTAAAGGCCTGGTTCTGAAGCCTAGAAGCCTTACCCTGCGTGTATACTGCCTGAGTATATCTGAACCTGTAATATTCCTATGCAATAAAACATGCGAGAGCAATGTAATGTCAGAAGTTTCACAGGATTAGCATGTTGTGGAACAGCAATAATCTCTCTGTCTGTCATCAAAAGCCATTACTGGCTTTAGCAGCACTGAAACATCAGACTGCTAAAAGAGTCCTGAGAAAATGATGAATGTCATCTTTGTGCCAGAATGAGTTCATGCTGTAATTTCTTTCTATACCTCTGCTTTCTCTGCTTCTCTAACGTCTGAGCTGTTGCGGGCAACAGTCACGGTTATCAGCGTAAATCAATACTCTCTATGTGCTTAGCTTCACCACAGTCTTTTAGAATAAAACTAGAAGAAACATGTATTCTCACAATCGGCCTATTTTCAGTTTTTGTCAGGGGGTCCAAGCACTTAGTATTTGGAGCCCCTTTGCTTTTATAAGGGTTTTACTTTGTACTTTTAACAATTCATTTTAAACCCCATAACATACAGTTCAAAGCAGGGCAGGTGATTTATTTCAGAAATTCAATCCGAAGGGGGCAGTCCAGATGTTCTGCGCATTCTTTCACTAAACTGCTCTCTAGCTGGCTGAAGAAGGACCAAAACTGTCTCTTTTTTTCCCGTGTCTGAATGAAGGGTTACCTCTGAACACAGTAACAGAAAAGAAAAGGAAAAAAAAACACAGGGACTGCAGGGGACTTTGTGTGAAACTGTAGAAGTTCTTGCAGCTTGTATCTCACTCACACATACAGATCCCCCTCCTCCGCTCTCCCTCAAAGGGGAATTATACTCATTTTCTGCATAAGTAAATGGTTGAGATGTAAACAGCGTCAGTGGTTTGGTGTGAAATGCTCTGTTCTAGAGAAACTTGGAGTCAGAACTGTTCACAGTGGTGGTGATAGGAACCAGACGTCCACCTCTAAAAGCTCCCTCACAGAAAGTTACTACATGAAACGGTTATTAATTCACTGCCTGATGTCTGAGACAGTTTTCTAACAGCGTTGAGAGGATTTTGGCCTAAAAATGTTTAACCCCTTAAATGGCCAGGGCCCAACAGCAGACCCAAGAGTAGCTTGGCCAGTTTGCACTGAAATCCCTGTATTTACTGAATAATGAGCCTGAGTGTGTAATAAGCCTGGGATTTTAAGGGGTTAAAACAAATGTAGGAAGGCCCATGTAGGTTCACTGGTGCTTTTGGATAGTAAATAAAGTGTCTATATTTGTGTTGTAGTCATGGTGACCCCTGGTTCCTATCACCACCACTGTAAAGACAATCTCTACAATCTCTACAATCAACCATTTAACACTAAACCACTCTGAATGACTGTCTTTACATCTCAGTGATTAAATTAGGTAGAATGAAAAACAAGTATTTGCATTTTGCCAAAATCCCCCATTTTAGTACAGCTGGGAATTTATCAGTGGATTAGCATTTCTGTTCTGGCTAACTATATTGTGGTGAGAATAAGGAAACTGTCCATGCAGACTGCTAGCTAGCTAGCTTGCCAACCATTAACAGTAAAAACACAAACGCGACAATAGTTATACCATCTATTCTAGCCTTCTAACTTACTATGTATCACTCTGCATCTCTATTATGCATCAATTTATAACCAGATAAGGAGGAATTATATTGAATGTCATGCAGCCAACTCTGCTAGAAAAGCCAGCATAGACCAGCATGGCTGATCACCAGCAAAACCAGCATATGTCGTGTTTTGGATGCTGATATGCTGGTCAACCACCACGACCATGCTGGTTGAGCAGCTGAACCAGCACTAGACCAGTATAAACCAACATGCTATTTGTCAACTATGTATGTTTTTCTGTATATCGCTGCTCTCAGAACAAACCCTCGTATCTCCATTTTTGTTGTTTTTTAGTTTTTGACATAATTCGAAAATGTCTGTTGCCCTTTATGTTGTGTGTAAAGTTCATGATGAATAAACCAAAAGAAACAGCCCACAATGACTTACGAAAAAGTCTGGTTCCATTGACTTTCATTAAAAGTAAAGTATATTTTTGCCTTATCCCGTAAAGTTATCATTTGGGAAATACGAGGTTTTATTTTGACAAAAGTGATACACACACACACACATATACATGTCTCACCACTTTTGGAGAGGTGTGAATTGTTTTCACAGCAGGGGTTTCTCACCCCTCCACTTCACCCCTCATTGCTCACTAGCAGCACAGTACACATGCAAAAAAACAACAGATCTGATAACAGATTTACAGGGAAGAAATATTTTATTTGATTATATTTAATAAAAATATCTGAGTCGATTTCCATTCCGTCAGT